CAAAGCATCATTAGAATTGGCATTAAATGGGCTGCCAGGACCTTCAAAATCCTTCCAATGTGCTTGTGGGTGGCGTCGAGGGCACCTGGTCCTCGAATACATTTGATTCCCGGTCTTAAACAATGCCAGCGGCACCGAGTCAACCCTTGTACCGAGTCAACCCTTGTGCTGAGTCAACCCTTGTGCCGAGTCAACCCTTGTAGCGAGTCAACACATTGTACCGAGTCAACCCTTGTGCTGAGTCAACCCTTGTGCCGAGTCAACCCTTGTGATGAGTCAACCCTTGTGCCGAGTCAACCCTTGTACCGAGTCAACCCTTGTACCGAGTCCACCCTTGTACCGAGTCAACCCTCGTACCGAGTCAACCTTTGTAGCGAGTCAACCTTGTAGCGAGTCAACCCTTGTACCGAGTCAACCTTGTACCGAGTCAACCTTGTACCGAGTCAACCCTTGTAGCGAGTCAACCCTTGTACCGAGTCAACCCTTGTACTGAGTCAACCTTGTACCGAGTCAACCCTTGTACCGAGTCAACCCTTGTACCGAGTCAACCCTTGTGCGAGTCAACCCTTGTGCGGAGTCAACCCTCGTACCGAGTCAACTCTTGTACCGAGTCAACACTTGTGCCGAGTCAACCTTGTACCGAGTCAACCCTTGTACCGAGTCAACATTGTACCGAGTCAACCCTTGTACCGAGTCCACCCTTGTACCGAGTCAACCCTCGTACCGAGTCAACCTTGTACCGAGTCAACCCTCGTACCGAGTCAACCCTCGTACCGAGTCCACCCTTGTAGCGAGTCAACCCTGTACCGAGTCCACCCTTGAACCAAGTCAACCCTTGTACCGAGTCAACCCTTGTGCCGAGTCAACCTCGTCTCTCCACGGTTGATTCTGCCCCAATGTTGCGATCGGGTGCAGAAAGGTCAAAGTGAAGTGCTGCTCCAGTGAGCATTGAGGCGTTGCTCATCTGCAGTTCACAGTCTTCACCGAGCGGTGTAAATCCTCCCCGTTAGGACTGCGAGTACCATCAATGAGAATAAGAATGTTACTGACCATCCCCACCACTTGTTCCACAACTCCAGCTGTAAAATATGCCAGTTAGCGTTTTTATTTGACATTTTCCTGCAATTGCAAACGTTGATCTTAGATTCTCATTGTAGTTATGTCTGTTATCGTGTCATCTAAAAATAAAGAAGACTTCAGATTTTATGTACACATTCAGTCAACTTACATATATGTGCGTGCTTGCATGCACATCGTACATTCTGTATTCATTGGATTTACATCTATCTATATTTTAACCATATTGACATTCCACATTTAGAGATGAATTTTTCATATCAAATAGCATAACGAAGTTGACTCAGAGTATATATATACATACGCATACATATATGAACGTTGGTTACATAATATAACGTCTAGCCCTTTGTAAATAAACTGCCGGATGAAGGCCTCGAGATACCGTGACGGTCATGGGGTTGTCCGGCCATACCTCACCACTCTGGTTAGTGCGTGGTCACGCCGTTATTGTTATCAGCTTTAACGTTTCTCTATCCCCTGTGCTGTTATTCGATGTATTTGCCTTGTGCCTAATACATATTAATACTGGTAGGAACCTCCTGGTTACACCAGCCCACAGGGGATTATTGTGTCCGTCCGTCCGTCGTGCAGGGAGGGGCTGGGTCGGGAGGGGAGGGTCGGGAGGGGCTGGGTGGGGAAGGGAGGGTGGGGAGGGGCTGGGTGGGGAGGGGCTGGTCACCCCGTGGTGCCCTTATAAAACTCAACGTTTAACCTACTCACGCCGGCTTGTGCCCGCCCTCACAGTCGGGCATATTTGAGGAATACACCACGCCGCCGTTGACCCTGGCCATTGACCGAAGCAACCCAACGTTCCTACCAGCTCCCTCCGCAGGAATGTGTTTGGGGTGGGTGGGTGGGTGGGGGGGGAATTCCCTTCCCATTTTGAGAATGCAATAATAAAGCATCGTCAAACACGTGCGCGACAGTCGGTGATGCGATATTGGTGAGAGGATTAATTACAGATTTGTTGTTTCATAGTTTATTCATGCACTCCCGAGTGCCTTCGTGTAGTGATGGGGTGTTATTAATTCGTAATTTTACGTAAACACATTACCTTCGATGTAATCCAGTTTACATTTATTAAAACGTGATTATGATATATGGACAACAACACGAAATGGTAAACGAGCAAGCTGGATAATCGATGCATTATCGAACGGCTTTCTTGTTATCGCGTGAGAATGAAATAAAATTCTCCAAGCGACTTCAGGATCAAAATGAAGAGGCGCTGATGTCACCACACCTCTCTCATCAGAATCTCGATTGAGACTGGAGGAATCCGATGAGCTGTGCCACTCTTTTGTTCACAGATGTCCAGTCGGGGTGGGTAAGAAAAATTGCCAAGAATAACCAATAGGAAGGTAAACTAAGCACTTAACAAAAATACACAAGTAAAACTAAACTATAGATAGTTTTGGTATCTTGACAGGTGTAATAAAGGTCGTGGAAGCGACTTCTGGAATCCGGTCTTTATTTGTCTTTCTTTACAACACTCCTTCACGCTGCTGACAGACAGCGTGAGAGGGATAGAGAGAGAGAGACTCGCGCAGCCACGTGGCAGCCTGGACCACGTGGCAGCCTGGACCACGTGGCAGCCTGGACCACGTGGCAGCCTGGACCACGTGGCAGCCTGGACCACGTGGCAGCCTGGACCACGTGGCAGCCTGGACCACGTGGCAGCCTGGACCCCCGCTCCAGCGTGGCCTCTCCCTCCGTTCGTTCCAGTTCTGACCACGTGTTGTTCATCTCCACTCCTATTTAATACCCGGGTCACGTGGTACCTTTCCACAAATCCTGATTAGCCTCTATGGAATCTTCCAGACTCCATCGTAGGCTCCCGGGACCACGCCCCTGACTTGTCTCCCCATTGGCAGTGGCTAAAGCCAGCAGAACCAATCCTCTACTTACAGCTGTCACCTTCCCATTACGTCAGGGCCACGCCCCTAGGCTTCCCCCCATTGGCTATGGACCAGGACCAGCAGAGCCAATCATCGTGACGAGTTGTGATCCGTCAGCGACCCGGATATATCCTCACATTACACAGGTAAAGCCCACTGAGCCGTTAGCTTCTTTTTCAGAAGCGACCTGACCATCGCAAATGGCAGCTCAGCGAAGTGGCTTATCATTATCATCATCACCATAGAGGTAAAGTCGTGCTCAGATTGTAAATGGTGTGGCTTGGCTCTCCAACACACCGGTGTGCTGTACTCGTGACGATTTGGCCACGTTCTGTTTAGCTGACAACCCTCACTAGTTGGCTGTGTCGGGTGGTTGCGGGTTTTCACGACACAGTTATATATTTACGCGATGTAACCCAAAAGCCTATATTTTGGATCATCACCATCCTCACGCTTTCCGCCATCTGCCCAGATTACACAGCTGCTGGACTCGTTTCTCGGTAGCCACCAATGCCAACAACAGCCGGTGACGCCACCACGGCGTCTGTGCCAGGCCAGGTGCACTTTGAGGCCACGTGGAGTGTCGTAAGGCTCGCTGACGGGAGGTCACGGGACAGACCCAGGTGCCATTGGTTGGCTGACTGAGATGACTGGTAGTTGCACCAGCTGTACCCCCTACTGTGCCAACTTTCTGTGTTTTATCCGCCCGGCGCTCCGCTCGTTGTTGTGAGCGTCGCTCCTCTGCCCTCCGTTGTTGCTGGAGTGCGACTGCCTCCACTTGCCCAGTAGCAGTGTCCTTCACGAGCCTCCTCATCAGAGGGCGATCCTGACACCGCTGGTGCCAGTCGTCTGCAGGTCCACTCAGCTCCACATCCTCCTGTACAGCATCAGTCCATCTCTTCGCCAGCCTACACCTCCACCTGCTCCCCCATCGTGCGCTGTCTCACTGTAGCCGCTGTGAGCTCACCTGCGATTCATCGCACGTCTAATTGTGCGCTCCATTTTCCACAGCTGCAGGGTAGCCAGGTGCGTTATTTTAAAATGTATTATAAGTGAATGCAATGGTGATCAGGGAACGGACCCCAAGCCCCCATTGTAACGAATCGTCTATAATATCATCTTTCACTTCTTGCTGATCATAGTTCGTTTCTCATAATAATTCATAATAACGGTTTATTTTTTGGCTTAGATCGCACGAATATAAATGTGTTGTTAAACCCGCCACCACCGGACACAGCCAATTAGTGAGGTGTGCCACGTAAACAAAATCTGTCCGTCCAATTGGTTACCACTTCGAGTGTGTTGGAGAGTAAACACAACTCATCTTCGTTTCTTTCGGTGAAGTCACGTAGGTATAAAATAAAATAAATCAGGTGGGAAAGCATGCTAGGTGACTTCACCGACAAAACCAAAGAGCATGGATTCCTGCAGTCACGAAAGCTTCAAATCAAGATATTCGTTTATGTTTCGCGTCGCTCGCTGTTGCCACCATCTCCAACTTGCGTCTGCCGTGCAGCGAAGCGTCACCCGTGCTGCGGACTGCTGCTCACAGCTCACTCATCTCTAAATCTTGTTCATCTCCTTTAAATCTCACCAATCCGTCCTGAACCACTGTCCTCCTTACTGTCACCATAGCTACACCACGACTTTTGTTAACCCCCGCTCCCCTCCACCACACTCTTTGTTAACCGGCATAATTTAACGTATAATTTTATAAGGGCGCTGGAATTATAAATCTACGGCAGATAAGATGAGAAAACGCCAAATGGCCGACGAACTAAAAACATTCGCATTCACGTGCGTATGCGTGTCGAACTTCTTTCGCACCGTACGCAGCCAAACCGTGCTAATCGGAGGTGCACAGAGCGGAGTTCGGCTGAGACGGTTCTTATGCGTCTTCCCCGGGAAGACCCCAAAAGGAAGGGGTGCAAACAGCAGACAGCTACGAGCAAACGAATGAACGAACGAAGGGAGGGAGGCAGCGAGAGTGAATCGTCATTCCCCAAGCACCCCCCCACGTACTGGATGTCGTCTTCGTTGGCGAACATGATGACGACACGCGCTGTGGACGTGTCGAGCAGACGCTTGATGATCTTCTCGTACTCGCCGGGCCTCGGTTCGCGTGGGATCTTGAGTGACTGCGCGATGCACACCCCGCCTGACGGAGAGCGAGCAAGCCACAAGCCAAAAGCAAAGCGTCAAAACCGTCGCTCTGCGTGTTGACCCCGCGTCTGTTTGTGGGGGGCAACCGTTCTTTTGCCGTGCAACGGATGCAGTTAGGAGGTCTGTCGAACACCTTTGGCGGGGGGGGGGGGGGTCACACAACATCATCCCGTATGGCCTTAACAGACTGTTGATGCAAGCAAGGCCGGATTAAGATTTGGTAGGCCCCTCTATGGCTACGGGGACAGTGAGCCCCCCCAGTAATATTTTCAAAAGAAAAACAAAGTTGAATTTTTCTTCTTGGTTCTTTCGGTAAAGTCACTTAGAAGGGAAATAATAAAATAATAAAAATAAAACATAATAAAATAATTCTCAGGACGTTTCGGCCACAACGCAAGCAGCCGTCTTCAGGTGAAGAACAGGTCTGTCGGAAAGACAATGTGAAGCTTTAAATCAAAATTTAAAGTTTAAGATTTTTTTTTTTTACTTTTACAAGGCTAACAACAAATACAATTCAGCATTCACAAATTGAAAATAACTTTTCACTTCATCTCTGGAGGCCCTCGAGCCCCTGGGTTGCAGCCCGTAAAGCCCCGTGCCTGAATCCGGCCCTGGGTGCAAGTGCTGTTAGCGAGCACGTGTACATGAAGGCCGGCACGGCACACAAACGGGTGGGTGGACAGCACCACGCCCGGCCGCCTTTATTTCCCCAGCGGCGATGTTGACACATCGCTCCGTGTAGTCGTTTGAGGCTGAGTCGACCTAGGGGAGGCCCCAGACCGGTTCAGACAACCGTCATCGCTGTTGGCCATGAGCGGAAATTGAACTCGGGACGCCGGGTTTCGTAGTGTAGCGTAGCGCTAACAGCTACACCACCGCTCCCCTCATACGCGCATCAAAGATCAAAGATTCCCTCATATAGCCTGAACAGACTGTAGGGGCAAGTGCTGTTAGCAAGCACCTATGAAGGCCGGAACGGTACACGAGGGGGTGGGTGGCCAGCACCACGCCCGACCGCCTTTGTCTCCCTAGTGGCAATGTTTACACACCTCACCAGGTACTCATTTGAGGCTGAGTCGACCTAGGGGAGGCCCGGGACCGGTTCAGATAATCGTCAGTGGTGTTGGCCGTGAGCGGGAATCGAACTTGTGTCGCCGGGTTCATAGCGCAGCGCGCTAACCGCTACACCTATCGCTCCCCACTCATACGCGCATGCACACACACACACGACACACACCTCCGTTACGTCCGTGCCTTACATTGACAGAAGTGACTGAGCACGGGTAAATGATCAACACAGTGCCGTCACATCAAACAAAGAAATCCCCTCCAGTATCTCATTCGTGTGGTTAAGATGATTGCAGTCCTTCAATAGCTGATGCTTGCTATTCAACAGCAGGCATGCAAGCAGGGACTCGTTTCAGCCAGATCTGTCCAGATTTGGCAACTAGAAAATATATCCATACCCAGCGCAACTACATCCGGTAGCATCTCTCGTTCGTGGATGTGGCTACCTCGGGTTGCCAAACTTGTCCTGATATTTCGAGGGTCATCCTCTTTTGAGACAGCCACTGTCGTGGCGAAATCTTTGAGCCGTCTTGGGACATGAAAAGTGCCGGCTTTTGTCAGTTGCGTAGTAATACTAATAATGTTGACAATACATGACGTAAGACAAAGTGTTTTCCACTCTTGTGCGGCATTGTGAGATATCCTTCATTTTTTTCTTCCCATGATGAGTCCCGGTTTTTTTTATGTACCTCGGAGGTAGCAACTTTAACGACGTAAAAAAAAGACGTCTCACCATCTCGCTTCCAACGGCAGAGGCGCGCTTTGTAACAGGCATTGTTCAATTTGCCCCCTTCAAGATTGTGTGAGCTGTCACGATTCAGAGTGAGGGTTGCAACCCCTGAGCGACTTAGTGTGGACCGTACATCGGACAGTCACATAATTCAGATAGGTGATTCTCATCACCGTATTCATGGTTTGTATTATATTGTTCTGGCTTAAGCTAAGCGCTGAATATAACAGCGGTGATTTTCAGATGTAGTTTATGTTCGTTGAACTTCCTTTGCACCGTACCTAGCCAACCGTGCAGGGGAAGGTAAAAAAAAAACTGAACACTAAAAGCATTCTAAAGAAATCTGTTTGCAATCTAGTTAATTCAAAGTGCGTAGCTTCAGTGGCCTCTGAATATCAGCTGAGCGTTCCAGACGGCCGCAGAAGCGCCTCTGAAAGCCGCGAGATGCAGTGACCGTCTTTGTTCAATGGCTAGCAGTCAAAAGCCACTGCAAGGATGATCGGGGTTTGCGTGGTGGTTTATGTTCTTTGACGAGATCAGCAAGGCATTGTGGTTTATTTATGGCAAGCACTGTCTTTGGCTTCCTAACATCGGAAGGAAGAGCGTTGCAGACTATACTGCGTGTCTCATTTTACATTAAAAAGCCACAGATACACATCGGGCCCAAGGTGCAACTAACGGCAGGTTCATCTTCTTGGTTCTTTCGGTAAAGTCACGTAGAATGGAAATAATAAAGTAATAAAAATAAAAATAATAAAATAATATTATTGTTTTATAAGAATAAAAATAAAACATAAAAATTATATAATTACTTTATTATGTTTTACTTTTATTATTTTATTATTTCCATTCTACGTGACTTTACCGAAAGAACCAAGAAGATGAATCCCTGCAGGTCACGAAAGCTTTGAATCGAAATTCAACGGCAGGTTGTCGTGCATTCATCTCTGGGAGAAACGTTGTTGTTAAGGGACAGCACAGCCTGAAAGTGGTTCCTGAGAGACCAGCAGTGGCCCTGACGCAATGGGGGTGGAGGGGGCACACGCAGAAACCATCCTGGTGAGACGACAGAAGAGATATCACACGGACAAGAGACGTGCAGATGAGACGGGAGGCGGAGTGAAATGGGAGAGAGCGATATCGACAATGGAGACGGAGGCGGAGTTACTCGAACGAGGTGAGAACAGAGGGATGCAGATCAGATACGGACTAGAGGGGTAACCATTCGCATTAACGTTAATGAGCGTATTCTGTTAAGGTTCCCTCGTATTATTATTACACGCCTTTATTATTGTTTTGACACGTAGGTTTTCGCGACCAGTATCATCCATAATATAGGTTTTTTTGGGGTTAGATCCTGTAAATATACAAATGTGTCGTTAAACCCGCCACCACCCGACACAGCCAACTAGTAAGGTTTGTCAAACCTTTATGTAAGGAACGAAACAGTAAGACTTCTCAAATCTGGCTGTCGCCTGATGAAGCTAGTTGTAATTACTGGCGAAACGAGGTACTCAGCTTGTAAATGCTGTGGCTTGGCTCTCCAACACACAACCGGTGTGCTGTACTAGTACACTACACTATACACTACACTATACACTACACTACTATACACTATACACTAGTGCTGTACTAGTGACGAATTGGCCACGTTCTGTTTACGTGACAAACCTTACTAGTTGGCCGTGTCGGGTGGTGGCGGGTTTAACGACACATTTATATATTTACTGCGATCTAAGCCAAAATAACCTCTACTATGGACTTTTATTATTATGCTTATTACACACTTTTATTGAACTTGCCGTGTTGTCTGTTCATCTTATTTGGACGCTTAATATCTTCGGATCTACGAAGCCCAACGAGCTGAAATTTTCTTCACAGACTCGCCCCTCGTGACAACTCAGTTTTTTTTCAGTTTTCAGTTAAATTTTTTCAGTTTCATTAATTAGGTATAGCCCTGTGAGCCATTCGGCTCTTCAATCGGGTGCAACCGCAACAAACAAAAAACAAAAACATGAAATAAAAACATGAACAAGAAAACATCTTAAAGTGACTATATGACTATGTGTAAACAGAAGATCCAGGAAAAGACGGCAAAATATTCCACAAAAAGCACCGTACACCAACGCTGTGTGCAAAAATCCCAGTTGGATGCAAGTCAAACAACAACAACCTCAAGACAACTTAGATTAAGGCCATCAGTCTAACTCCGTACTACAACAAACAAACATATCCAAACCAATGATGATTGTTGATTACATTAAAAAAACGGTCCAGGTCCCGCCGATCCTGCGCCTATTCGTGATTCTAATTAAATTTTACAAATGAATCTTCGTCCATTTCCCCCTTTTTGAAATCTCGAATAGTCGCGCCCAACGAACGGGGGGGGGGGGGGGGGAGGAGCAAACGTCTCGTCCAATCAGAGAGCGGCTGCTGGACAGCCTCTGACCAATGAGAGGGCGCGTCATGGCGCCGGAGCGGACACTGGTTTCTTCTAAGCGCAAGAACAGCAATTATAATCACTACTATTGCTCAATTGATTACATATTCATAATCTTAATAATTAGTGTTATCGTTTGCTTTGCACACGCTCGTTCTGACGCGCGTAGGGCAACGTGGTTATGCTGAAGTTCAAAGTTACAAACTTCAAAGTTCATTTATTAGGTATAGCCCTGTGAGCCATTCGGCTCTTGAATCGGGTGCAACCGCAACAAACAAAAAACAAAAACATGAACAAGAAAATATCTTAAAGTGAATATGTGCAAACAGAAAATCCAAGAAAAGACAGCAACATATTGCAGAAAAAGCACCGTACACAAACCCTGTGCAAATATCCCAGTTGGATGCAAGTCAAACAACAACAACTACAAGACAACTTAGATTAAGGCGATCCGTCTAACTCTGTACTACAACAAACAAACATGGCCAAACCAAAAAACTTTTCGAAAATCACTAAAATAAAGCCATAAAAGCAATGAAACAGTGCTCATAGGAACTGTGACCGAATTTTCACAATAAACGACGAAAACAACATGTACCACCAAACTCTGCAGTCATAGCTGGCTGCATGAGTCACTCCACAACAGTTGAGCGAGCAGGTGAAAACCGTGATCATCTCTTACAATGAAATGCCCGTGATGTTATCCTTATTTTGATTGACAACGTTTTCTAATGATGATTGTTGATATAAATGCCTT